AACTGAGACCAAGTCTCAATGTACAATCTGACTCTATTCGTGCGAAAGTTTTTAAATAATCTTTTTCTATATATATTAATTAGTTTTACATGTTTTTATTGTTTTAAGCACTACTTTGTAAATTCTTTTACATACTTTTTACATATTTTTACTTCATTAATAATTTTCACACATTCTTACCTCTTTGTAGCTATATATATCTATGCATATTTTACTTCTTACATCTTGCTTGATAATGACCGAAGAGCGGTCGAAACGTCGCAAACTTTTACCGTTTATTTTTATTGTCAAAAGTTGAAGGTTCACTGGAATATCTAGAATTTCCTTTGTTAAAGTTCAATTTTTTTTCAATACTTCAGTTACTTATTTCCTAAAGTATTTTCGTGCCAAATTTCGTGAAATTCTAATGAGTGTTCTCGGGGAATAGGCGTATTTCCGGGAGAGCTATTCCACATTCAATCGCACTTTTTCGACTTACTACGCATGCGTTGTATTTAACTGGGTTCTTTTGGTAACAAAGAAAAAGCTGAGAATTGCTGGATTCTTCGCGTCGTTACCTTTTCTAACATACCTTTGTAATAAAAGACTAAAACCAACAATACACTGTGTTTAATTATGAAGAAAAATAGTAGAGAAAGCGCGGACATTGAGCAAATAAAATGATCATCGTATTGACGCCATGTTTGTTTCTTTTTGCAATCGTTGCCCGCGCGCTGAATTGCATTAGCAAGAGCGCGCGCGAATACTGTGTTCGGCTCCTTAACGCCAAATCAGAATCTAGCAACGCGCGAAATCTTAAAAAAATATAACCGATACATAAACAAATAATTTTATTAACCTTCTACGTTGTTAAAGGTAATTAACAAACATTCTTTCTGTTTTGCTTTGTTTTGTCTTATTTTAATTATTCTTTGTTACTTTCCATGTCCTTTTTTTTTTTTGAAACGACGCTATTCTTAAAAAAAATGTCAGAAAAGTCATCTCTATTCTATTCTGTTACAATTAATCATCCATGTCCAATACACCCAAACTGATTCGATTCGTCTGAGGTACTTGACGACTCGACTCAATTCGCACCGAGTCGATACGCATCACGTGACACGAAGACCCATGAGAAAATGATCATATGAACCTTCCTCGTTGTTAAAAGGTGACAGCAAACTGAGAGTCGATTCGTCTGAGGTACTTCACGATTCTAGAGGATTCGTCTCGAATCGTCTGAACGGAAGTCGAATCGCGGTGGGCAACAACTGGGATGTCAAATTGTTAACGATTCGACTCGATTCGCACGATTCGTCGCGAATCGTCTCCTGCAAAGTCGAATCGTCTGAACGGAAGCGAGCATCGTAGCTTTCAGGATTTCAATGTCCATTGCCGAAGCTAGTGTTCCTTAGCTTTATAATTTTCCATTTTACCACTCCACGAAGGTCTCCTTGTTAAAATTGAAGCGCGGGGTTACGCTATGCTGCCACACAAAAATGGTATAGTACGTCCTTCTGGTCTTTCCATGTCCATTTGTCGCAGCTACTGTTGCTTAGCTTAACAACTTTAATTTCCATTTTACAACTTCACGGATTGAACCAAAAACCATCTTCGTGCCGCGTTAACCGCCATGTATAAACTACATGTTATCGGACAAAATTTTTCTAGTCACCCCTAAAACCTGCCAAACCTACTGGACGAAGTGTCTGGGACAAAAACCATACTTGCAGGGGATAGATAGATTTGACCGTAACCCTAAGTGGGTATAGGGCCAGACATTCTCCTTCGCCATGTCACACGGTCACGAGCAGCCACTGTTGCCTCGCTCCATGAGCCAAAACCCAATGCTATTCTTTCTTTTTCTGCGGTTCTCCGCCAAGTCTCTTTCGGTCTGCCACGATTTCTTCTTCCCTCTGGGGCCCATGTTAATGCCTTCTCAGACTTTTATGTAGAAATACGTCTAGCTTGGTCGCATCTCTTTTAGTCACACGCCATGTTTCACAACCGTATAACAGACTAGCTATAACGTTGGACTTAAAGATCTTCAGCTTAGTTTTC